AACCGACACATAGAGACTATGTTATTTTTCTTAAACTATTTTTAAGGGGGCCACAATTTAGGAGGTTTGCAATGTTTATATATTTTATGTATGCGTTGAAATGGGAAAAACAAACTGACCTTGATAGAGCAGCTCCCCTGATAAACAAGCAGCTCACCCATAATTGTTTTTTCACTGATGGCTCTGGATCAATAAAAAAGGATTCAAATTGTTTACCAATGGATGATGGAGAAATGAACGTTTTTTCTGCCTCCATTGTGAATTCCTCTTTGCAGCATCTTTTGTTTTTTTTTTTTTTTTTTTTTTTTTTTTTTTCTTAAAAGGTAATACCATGCAGGACAGGAAGCACTTATAGTGTAGCCAAATGATACACCAATTAATAAACACCTCATGTTTTTTTAACACTATAAAAAATGAAATACGTTTATTTTTGCATTTTTTATTTATGCCTAAAAGGAACATGTAGAGATGTACATGTGTATTTCTTTTTCTTTTGCTTCTTCTTTTTATGTACCAAAAAAAAAAAAAAAAAAAAGTCACTCTGACCATAGCGCTGCTAATTGAGTATCCCTAATGCAAACACATGGAAAGGTAAATCGAATGTAGAAACAGCTCAGTTTTACTTTTGCAAAATTGTAAAAGTATTATTTGCAATAAATATGGTACAAAAAAAATTACGAAGAGGAGTAAACAAATTTATGCATAAGTATATAGTGTACCACGAAATTGATTAATTAAAAAAAAAAAAAAAAAAAAAAAATGTGTCGACTGAATTCTGAAAAAAGCAACAACGCACATATAATGTAGTTCTAAAAAAATGAATGAAATTAAAAAAAAAAAAAAAAAAAAAAAAGTAACCGACACATAGAGACTATGTTATTTTTCTTAAACTATTTTTAAGGGGGCCACAATTTAGGAGGTTTGCAATGTTTATATATTTTATGTATGCGTTGAAATGGGAAAAACAAACTGACCTTGATAGAGCAGCTCCCCTGATAAACAAGCAGCTCACCCATAATTGTTTTTTCACTGATGGCTCTGGATCAATAAAAAAGGATTCAAATTGTTTACCAATGGATGATGGAGAAATGAACGTTTTTTCTGCCTCCATTGTGAATTCCTCTTTGCAGCATCTTTTGTTTTTTTTTTTTTTTTTTTT